AAACTTCATATTCAAAGGTACCAGTTAGAGCTGACTTTATGTTGTTGTAAGAGCTGACTCTATGTTGTTGTAATGCTCAAATATTATAGCATGTGATTACACGATACATAATAAATCTATAATGACATTCCTGTTAAAATAATTATTTAATTTTTCTTTTTTAAAACAATACACTTTTCGTTGTATTTAAAATGACATTTTTTCACTTGTACTTTGCTCGTCTTACATTATTATACTTTTTTAAATTCTTACATAATGAATTCATAAATGACTTTTCTAATTGATATATAATTTTATTAATTTTTTATTAGTATTAGTATATTATTTAATTTCATAATAAAAAAATAAATATTTTAATCATTTTAAACATGAAATATGATATCAAATTGAAACTCGTCAAACGATGATTAACTTGATATATGAAAAATTGATGACATTTCATTAATTTTTAAATATACTTATAATTTAAGTTAATCGAGTGTATTATAATTTTAAAAGTCCTAGTATCTATGGATATAATTCATATCCACATAACGCATACACATATGATTACGCAACACTATAATTCTACTCATAAAATCGGGAGATTGTATTTATATACAGGAGATCAATTATTACTCCATTAGATTTTCTATGCTTTACAAATTTATAAAAACTTATATGGGAATTTTAAGTTTTAATAGATAATATCAATTTAGCTACCATACTAATATATTACTTTTAATTATTTAAGTCGCAATCACCTTGATTCATAAGAAACATATGAGAACTTGGGTGATAATGTTATTTCAACCTGTCTACCAAACAACAAAAGTAGAGCCTTTTATGTTCTACCTTTTCACTTTTTCTTTTTTCCTCTTTCTCCTCTTCTAGAGGTAGTAAATAGTAATTAAAAGCCTAAATTTTAGCAATATAATATACAGGTGCATTAATTTAAATAATTTTTTAAAATAGATAAAAGGATGTCATTATTTCTTCCCATTCCCCACAATATTCTGCTAAATTAGTTGGGCCGTTGGCCCAGAAACCTAGAAGTGGCCTACCATCAACTAATTCTGCTTGTGGACAGGTGGCGGGCTCATATCTGAGTTAAGTCGGATAAAACTTAGTGTGGCTCGGATTGAAAAACCATACACTGGACAATTTTACACTTCAATTAAGTGTAAAATAACAATCCACATTAGTTTGTCTAGAGTTGAATTTAGTCAAACTCTAGTAAAAAACTTTATACAAAAACAAAAGATATGAGAAAAATAATGAACAAGATCTAACAATATGATAACAAAACATAAAGTATTATATGCATATGAAATTATTAAATGGAATGAGTTGTTCGCGAGATTGACTCATCTAACATTGAGTTTTAGAGGCAAGCTCTAGTTCTGTTAAAGCTCAAGATCACACACGAGTTCTAATTTGTTAATCTTTTTAAAAAAGGCAGACATGTTTTGTTAATGAGTCAATCTCGACTTGGCTCGATAAAGACAAACAGAGCTCGAATTTAATTTATTGTGATTAATTAAACTATTAAAGACTAGTTGGAGACGATTTAGAAACAAAAGTCAAGTAAAATGGCATCTATATATATATAAAGAGGAGCAACAAAACATTAAATTATATTATCATGCATTAAATTTTATTCTCCCTCCAAAGTTTTCAACATTTAAATTTTATTTTTAAGTTACAAAATAACTTGCTTGAATGCCATAAATTATGAGCATAAACTAATCAAGGGAGTTACAAAATTGTACTCAAATTTTAAGTTACACCCACTCATGAAAATGGCCGAGTGTATTAGCATAATGAAAATGATTGTAACGGCTCTTCCATAGCAATTACTTGATCAAAATCAATTTTGAAAATTATTTTCTTAATTCATATTTTTTTTTCATGAATTATATTATTATTTATTCTTATTTTTATTTATATTATTATTTTTTTAAAGTATTATTCACTGTGCAAATGCACAGGTAAATTACTAATATATACTGAAAACAGAAGTTGCAATCTTTCATTGCTTACATTGGCACTCAAAATATACAAATAAGTTAAAATTCACAGTTAATTGGTTCATGAAGAACTACAAGACACCTTGTACAAGTGCAACGCGCGTCTCCGCGCGTGGTTATCTAGGTAGATGAAAATTTCATACCCTGCGCAAGATAAGAAGCGTGTACTCAGTAAGTTTTAATGTGACAAATTTTTATTGTACAATTTATTAATGTCTAATTTAGTAAATCATGCCTGAAACATTATAAATGTTCTACATATTACATACAAAACATACATGTGTGCTTAATAAATATTTTGAGCTTACTTTTGTCAATGTACAAAGTTCATCAAACAAGGGTTCCTTCTTTCTCATTTTTAAACCATTTACAGAATATAAATTCTGTGAGAAAGATATCATAGTTTTGTTGAGATGTTTTTGCAGCATGACGTTTTTAATAAAATTATATATATTTATATTTAAGCAGCAACAACAACAAGCCGCTAAAATCCACTATATGTGATCAACTATATAAATCACATATCGCCATTGTACTCAATTAGAACACATATCCTCATTCAAAATTAAATATTTTAAATTAATAGTATTATTTTATTTCAAGTTTTCTTAGGTCTACTCCTTTTAATTTGCATTCTTAGTCTAATGTTTGTACTCTTCTTACCGAGACCTCAAAGTCTCTCTTACGCACATGCCCAAACCATCTTAAGTGCGATTCTCTCATTGTCTTCTCTATAGGCGCTACTCCAACTTTATTTCCAGTACTTTCATTTATAATCTTATTTAACCTAGTATGTCCATACATCCATCTCAACATTTAGGCAAAATTGCATATAAATGTACTATTTTTAAGACTTTTGCAATTTAATCACTAGGTACCTTTTGATATTAGTTTAAATCCCCTCATTTCATATGTTTTGCAAATCGAAGCATAAATTTAATTATCGTTACACTTTCGTCTGTGCCAAGTCAACTTCAATCTACGTAAGTTAAATGTATGTTTTGATCTACAAAACATATGAAATGTGGTGATTTAAATGCAAGTAGCACAAGGTTACCAATTATCAAGCAGTATTTACCAAATTATCACCACATGAATAATTGTTCAAACAATCGAAGATTTTGTAATGAACATCTCATAAACAACACTTGATATGGCAACAAGAATCCAACCCTAACTAAGTAAAGAATTCAAAATCATTTGTTAATGCACAAAAAAAAGTACCTTGAATTCAATACTATCCGTTTCGCATCCCGGGTGGCACTATATCGCCGAGAAGCCCATCGTCCGTTAGAGACCGTGAACTCCCACTTGCTTCGTGTTTCCCAAAGTGGGTTTCTCCGTATTGGCCTTGAAACTCGTTCGTCGGTTGGGAATTAGTAATGGAAAACGATGTGTTTTCTTGAGGATTCGGAAAATATAGTTGCGAATTGTGACTTGCGGCTAATGCGGGTTCTTGAGGGAGGAACGACCGGCCTCTGAGAAACCCGGTTAAATGGTGGTTGTGTTGACCTTCATATGTGGTGATAACCAATGTGGGATCTTCGGAGGATCTCTCGACTCTCTTTTTCACCGTGCATTTACTGTTTGTGCATCGGTAGTAACTCCTGCATGAGAGAATATATATATGAGTTTTACGACAAAGATTAAGTTAAAAAATGAAAAAAAGGAAGAAAACATAAAAAGATTAACTTGCGCGTTTTGAGCAATAGTTTCGTTTTGAGCGATAGTTTCGTGTATATATATATATACCTTGGAAAAGGACTATTTTTAACCGCCTTTTGTCCATATTTTCGCCATCTGTAGCCATCCTCAAGATTATCCACGTCGCTTTTCGTCACGAATGCATAACGTTGCTGTCGAATTCGCTTTGGCTCTTTCTTTTTAGCCTTGCTCCTACAATATATATTCTCACCCTTTATATATATGTGACTGATCATCATCTTCCAAAACTAAGACAAAAGATTATTTACTTGTTTGTGGATAATTTGCTCTAAGCATTATCCTTGATTGTCTTTTTTTCCTTAAAATCAATCACATGAGAAATTATACGCATTTATATGAAGAAACATGAAAATTCGTCTAGTTTACTAGCTAACAAAAAGTAAATAGCTAGAAAACTTAGGAAAGAAAATCCAACTAAATTTACATAAGTGATGGCATTTCCAGGGTTTTAATGGATGGTATAGTGTTACCAACTATTATTGAAGTAATTACATTAGTTATTACATATGAGTGCTCTGTTATAGTCCAAACAACTTAACCATAAATATATATAAGCCAAGATCAAATAGAAAATGCCCAACTATAATTCTTCATAAACTATATATAATATATTTGCCAATACATAAAAATGGGAATGCTTGAAACATTTAATTGTCAAAGAATATATTTCATATTTTATATAGTAACGTTTTTGTTTTATTTTTTTTGGAAAAAGTTCGTCACAAAACTGTCGAATTAACACACACTCGTGTGTGTGTGTATATGCATAGTCTGATGGTTGCCACTCCACGCACATATATATATTTATATTTATTTATTTACCAGAAAAAGCATCAATATTTTAAAGAAAAAATTGAGTATATATACAATACAAAAAAGAAATGTAAAAGGAACTTCTCAATGGCATGCTACTGCCGCCGCAATGGAGGCAGGCGCTCTTTTTCATTCCACCACGATATGCTCTTTTCGAAACTCCAATAATAGGCACCTCAATTTTCCTTTATTTCCAAATATGCCCCAATATCATGTGCCGTGATTCGTGAAGGTTTCCCTTCACTCACGCCATTCATGTCCGAAATCCAAAAGAAAAGAAAAAAAAAAAAAGAAAAATAATAAAATCCAAATTAATTAGTTAAATAATTAATTAATAATTAAATAACCGCAAAAAAAATGCATGCATTTTTCACACTAACCGCACAACTAACTCACTCACGCTGCATCCGGCGGCGGATTGGCCGCGGCGGTCGATCCTCCAGACGCCGTCGGCTTCTCCACCGGATCCTCCGACGAGCTCGACGACGCTTCCTGGTTCATCGCCGGAGACTGAGACTGAGACTGAGACGGAGCCGGAGCCTTCTTCTCCTCCTCCACAATCGCCGAAATCCCCGCGGAGTCGCCGCGAATCCCGGCGAAATCGGAGCCGATCTGATCCAAATTCAGGAATCCACCGCCGGATTCCGCCGCGATGTCCCACCCGAACTCGCTGAGCACGCTAGTCTCGAGATCGTACGGATCGCCGCCGCCGAGGAAATATCCGCGATCGGCGTCCGCGGCGGATCGCCAGGCGGAGTCCGGCCGATCCTCGCCGTCCATGCCCGGTGGAGAGATCGATTGCAGTCTTGCAGAGGAAGTTTTGAGGCGGAGAGAGAAAGCTAGGGTTTGGAGATGGGGGAAAGGGGATAACGCGTAAAATCTTTTTCCATTACATGATTTAGTTATTTATATATTTTTCTTTTTTACTTTATTTGCTTTTCTCATCTAGAAAGCTTTTTTTTTTCGGTCGAGGTATGGAAAAAATAATGACAGTTAAGAAAATAAAAATAAAAATTTACAGTCAATGTTTGCACAGTTTGGTGGGGTTCTGTGTTGATGTGACGTTGGGGGGAAAGAGGGATGGATTTGAAATTTCACATGAATTTCACGCGCATGAATTGAAATGAAAATGTGGGGTTCATCACTTAATTGGGTATTTGTGCGAAATTTTAGAGGAATTCACTATGGAGTACATAGTATATGGATAATTACCATTCCAGCTATGGATTTACTGCATTTATTCATATTTTACTGTTGAATTAATACTTATACAGATATCTATACAAGTGCGTATTGATCTAATGGGACAATTGTATATTTATCTAACCATTAATTCTATAAAGTTGATACTATATTTATTTTAAGACACATATAAATACACAATTTGAGATATCTATACAAGTGTGTATAGATCTAATGGTACAATTGTATATTTATCTAACCATTAATTCTATAAAGTTGATACTATATTTATTTATTTTAAGACACATATAAATACTGTGAATAAATGGTGGATAATTCAGATTGCGAAATATAGAGTAGGAATGAGCTATATTTTAAGACACATATAAATACTGTGAATAAATGGTGGATAATTCAGATTGTTAAATATCATGGTTGTCAAAACCGGACCGGACCGGCCGGTCCGACCGGTTCAACCGGCAACCGGACATAGTACCGGTCCGGTTCGAGTGTTAGAACCGCTGGGAGTAAGAACCGGCTTCGAACCGGTAAAACCGGTTAAAAACCGGTCCAACCGGTGAACCGGGACCGGTTCAGCCGGTCCGACGGTTCTGAATTTTAGTATTGATTTGTTGGTCCAACTCAACTTATTCACTATATGCTATTAAGAAATCAAATTTTTGTTGGCCCAACTTATTTAGATTTTAGTTAGCCCAACCCAATATTAAAAAAAAAAAAATTAATGAATAAAAAAAATATCAAACAAAAGAAAAGAGATGGAGTTCCCGTCGACTCCAAAATTCTGAAATCAAAAAATCCCAAGTACGAAACCCTATCTCTCTTCATCTCCGCCAGTTCGCCTCCATCACCGGCCCGCAACTCCGGTCAGTGCCCGTCTGAAATTCGTCGTGCCCGCAACATCTCCGTTCGTGAACCTCTGCAACTCCAACCTTATTTCTTCCGATTGTGAACAATCCGCGACTCCGACCCGAATTTGTCCCTTCGTGAACCATCTCCCCGACGACAAGGACCATCTCTCCGACGGCCCTTTACCTTCGGCTAGGTTGAAAGCCCTACACGCTCCGACGTCTCTGTTGCTGCCTTCGGGGTCCTTTTGCTTCCTTCCTGGTATTTGTTGGTCGCACCTCCGGTCACGACAAGTTGTTCGTTGTTCGCTCGTTGTTCGTTGTTCGTTGGTCGCACCTCAGGCCGACATTTTGTTGCACCTCCTTGTTCGTTGTTCGCTCGTCCGACTAGTGCACTGCCGTTCGGCCCTATTCTCTGTTCACTCATCCGCTCTGTAGCTGTCATATCGAGCAGCTCTCCTTGTTCGACCAGGCGACCAGCTCTCCGTCACTGGCTCACAGGTATGGAGGGTTCAAATAATGAAATGCTATCGACACAATCTAGCCGTGGAAAAACTGATCCTGCTTGGGAATTTGTCAATTTAATTCGTGCGAATGGAAAGTCAACATACACTTGTTTGTTCTGTAAGAAACAATTCAAAGGTGGGGGAATTCATCGAATGAAATGTCATTTAGCTGGGAAGAAGGGAGAAGTAGCTGCGTGTAAGAAAGTGACGCACGACGTTAAGTCTCGGATGGCAGCACACTTGGACGAAGTAAAACAAAAAAAAGATGATCCTAATTACGATGATTATGAAGAAGGGAGCACGGCAAATGCACCTGAAGAAGAAGAAGTGCGAGAAGTACCCGAGTCTACTCCGGCTACCGGTAAAGGGAAGAGAAAAGCCGTCGCCGGTTCTGTCGATAGATATTTTGCTCCGAGGACAACTCCAGGATCTCAGCCAGGCCTAAAAAGTGTGTTTGCAACCAAAGAGGCGGTGAAAAATGCTAACATGGCTATTGCTCGATGGTTCTACGCCAATTGCATTCCATTTAATGCGACCAAATCTTGTTATTTTCAGCCAGCTTTAGATGCAATTGCTGCCATTGGACCTGGATTTAAAGGTCCTTCATATAATGATGTTAGGGTGAACTTGTTGGGAGATTGCAAAAAAGAGTGTCAGCTTCTCGTTGAAAGTTTTCGAAGCAGTTGGAAGAACTCTGGGTGCACACTTATGGCAGATGGATGGAGTGATCAGAGGCAAAGAACTTTGATAAACTTTTTGGTTTATTGTCCCGCAGGTATGACTTTCATTAAATCTGTTGATGCTTCAGACATGGTGAAAGATGCAAAAAATTTGTTCAATTTGTTTGTTGATGTTATTGAATGGATTGGGCCTGCAAATATTGTGCATGTAGTGACTGATAATGCGGCAAATTATGTAGCAGCTGGAAAGTTGATTCATGATAAGTATGAAAACATTTTTTGGTCCCCATGTGCAGCACATTGTTTGAATCTGATATTGAAAGATATCTCCTCATTACCTCATATAAGCAACCTCGCTTCTCGTGCTTCAAAGATTACTATCTTTGTCTATAATCATATGGTATTTTTGTCTTGGCTTAGAAAGAGGCCTGGTTGGAAGGAGATAGTACGTCCAGGAGTTACTCGATTTGCTACAGTCTTTATTACTTTAAAAAGCATTTGTGATCATAAAGAGGACTTGCAAGCTTTGGTGGTTGATAAACACTTTACTGGGCATAGATTAGCTAAAAGTGTTAATGGAAAAATTGTTTGTGAAACTATATTGGATGCTAAATTTTGGCGAGAGTGCCAAATTGCGGTTAAGCTTGCCGGCCCTCTTATTAGACTGTTGCGAATTGTTGATGCGGACGAAAAGCCGTCTTTGGGATATGTGTATGAAGGAATGCAAAGGGCAAAGAATGGTATCAAGGAGATGTTCGGAAAACGAAAAAATGTGTACAAGCCTTACACTGAAATTATTAAGGCTCGATGGGATAAACACTTGCATCGTAGTATCCATGCTGCAGCTTATTTTCTCAATCCGGCTTTCTTTTATGATGAAAGTTTTTGTGAGAAACATAGAGTGTTGAATGGATTACTTGATATACTGGACATCAAGAGCCTATGTAATGATTCGATTAAAGCAATGAAAGAGATACAAATATATAGAGATCGCAAGGATAGTTTCTCTAGGCCATCTTGTTTAGAGGCTGCAAAATCACTTACACCAGGTAAAAATATTATTTATAGTTGTATAATTTTTTTACGTACATATTGTCTAATTCTTTTACTTTTAATCAATTTTGTTCCTATTTATTATTGTAGATGAATGGTGGAGGTTGTTTGGCGGGAGTGCTCCCATATTAAAAAATATTGACATACGCATCTTGAGTCAAACTTCTTCTTCATCCGGATGTGAACGAAATTGGAGTTTGTTTGATATAATCCACACTAAAAGAAGGAATAAACTGGAGCATCAAAGGCTTTGTGATCATGTTTACATCACTTACAACTTGCGTTTGAAAGATAGGTAAGTTAATATTATTATTTATTAATTAATATGTGCGATGTTTCTTTTGTTGGCATTTGTTACATTTTAAACGTCTCTAGATAAATTATAATTTCTATATTATAGGAAGCATCAAAAGAAAAGATCTTATGATCCAATTGATTATGAAAGCATTGACAAACTTGATTTTTGGGTGGTGGATGACGATCCACAACCGGAATTTGATGAGGATGAAGTTGGAAACTTAATTTATGATGAACAAGCTATTCCAATTGTTGGTAAGTTGTTTGCTTATAAAAAAATTATATCTTTGGTATATTTATTTTGAGTACTTCATTTAATCTATGCTTTTTTGTTCTTTTTTTTTGTTTTTTTTTTGCATTTACGTAGATCGCAATGAAGTTAACATGGACATAAATATGCCTGATGCATCCAATTTGAACTTCGATGATGATGGAGATGATGGAAATGGGGATGATGATCTTCTTGGTTATGGTCATGCCGATCTTGGATTTGGAGGAGTTAGTGGAAATTATGATGATTCGTTCTAGTCGGTGATTTGATGTATTTTGAACTTGAACTACTCGAAGCTATTTCTTTTTTTCCTTCCTTATAATGGATTGGTTGTATTTTGATTTTTGATGACTTTGTACTTTGTAGTTTGTATTTGTAATTTAGATTGCCTTGCTTTAGACATTAAATTATGAATCTATTGTTTTAGTGAACTTAAATTAGTATTTATTACTTAAACTATACCCAAAATATTGATTATTGAACTCTTATTTTGAAAAATGGCATTATATGTTATAAAATTAATGATAAAAATATATACAATTATATATTATACATATAAAATAAATAAATAAATAATATATTAATTAAACCGGTTCGACCGGTTCGACCACTGGTCCGACCAGTGAACCATTGAACCAGTAGCTTCACCGGTTCAATGACCGGTCCGGTTTTGACAACCTTGTTAAATATAGAGTAGGAATGAGCTTTGTGAATGTGAATATGATATAAAAATTGATGATATAGAGTAGAAATGAGAGAATTTGAATATGATATAGAATTGATCAATTCCTTGACAAAAAAGTATCTGTTAATTTAATCTTTAGTGTTTACTAATACCTCCGCCTCCTACATTTGTATTTTTTATAAACTCCGTCAATTGATATTTAAATCACGTGATATCGAGCGAGGTTAAGTTTATCTACAAATGTTATGTAATTCATTTGTGAACTAAATTATATTTATACAAATATAGTTTGACCATTTTCTAAATAATCTCTACCGAATGATTAATTTTCGTTGATTCAATTTGATACAAACTTAAATGATTTTTCCAGCAATTTGGGTTTGCAGCAAATTAAAACTCTATTNACTCTATTAGTCATAATTCTCTATATTAACGTGTCAGTGGTAATGGTGAAGTATAATATTAACTTGTTGACATGGAGGCTGATAGTTCTTAAAATAAGATCAACTCATATACATGGCAACCTTACCTATATATTAATGTAGAGTTTTCTAGTCTTACTTTTTCATCATTTGATATTCTATGACATATTTCATATGGCGCTATAAAAAAAATGTTATATTCCAACGAAAAATCCTATGGTAATTTATTTCATTGGGAATTTCAACGAAAATATTCTGTTGGAATATGTTTTCTACTGGAATTTTAGATGGAATTTGATGATTCTCAACAACTATTTTCCCAACGGCTTTTTTCGTTGGAATTTCCGTTGGAATATGCAATTAGATTCTATTGAAATTTTTATTTTCACCTCCCTTAGAAAAATCTACTTTTGGAATCAACAAAATCCAATGGAAAACTCATTCCAACGGAAATTTTTTGTTGGAATTTTCGTTGGAATTCATTGAAAATTTTCAACTGGAATAATAGCATTGAAAAATATCCATTGAAATTGCCGTTAGAATTTTATTTGAATATGAATTTCATTATTTTCTTGTAGTGTGGGGTGTATATATATTAGGACTTGGGAATGTATAAACTTATAAAATAACTAATGACAAACTTAAACTACGCATGAGTTATTTATTATTTTATAATATTTCATTACTTTCGTGTATAAATTAATCATCTTCCTGATATACAAGTTAAATTATCTTTTTGAAAATTTCAGACATATTGCATATATTAGAAATTTTATAGAAAATTTGCATCATGTCCTTTTTTGTTTCGAGTTTACTTCTGATACACCTTTTATTTTTATTTCAATTTTTTTCTTTTTGACAATTTTCGTCCAAATCAAAGTTCTGATGCTCATTTTTGTTGGATAGCTGATGTGGCACCCTGTCGGATCGTAGTTACTAATTTTCAGTGTTATATGACACAAGACATGCCCATGCTATTTCGACACATAGATTAAAACAATTTAAAAATTAAAAAATAAAAAAAGGGAAAAATTCATCCCCACAACCACCTCATGCTGCCGTCATCAACAGCGGCGCATCGCCCTCTCCCTCCTCAGCCTCCACCTCCTCCGCACGCCGTAAGCTGAGGACATCACCACTATGTCGGAAACCCCAACTGACCCCAAGCCACCGGCCGCCAGAATCAAACACCCCATTCGACCCCAAGCCGTAGGTCGTCCGAATCAGAAACCCTAACCAACCCCAAGCCCTCTCCACCGCCTACTTCGCCAACCTCCACCATGTCGCCTCGTTGTCCGACAAAAATAAACATCGGAACTTCGATTTGAACAAATTGCAAAAAAATAAAAAATAATAGTGTACCAAAAGTAAATCCAAAACAGAAAAATGACGAAAGTGCAACTAAAGTAAAATTAGTGGATTGATGATGAATTTTTCCGAAATTTTATAGTTAAGCAAGACCTCAGGTGAATGGGAATGATTTAAAGAAAATAATAATTATTAATTGAATTATTGTCAATCTTCATTAAACAATATAATTTGAGTGAAAACTAATATTTTAATATTTTTTATATCTCGATATATAACATAAATTTTGAAATATTATTTTTTCTAAGTAACACTTATCACTACAAAAAAATGTTATATTCCAACAGAAAATCCTACAGCAATATATATTCCAACGAATATTCCAATGATATAGCTTCCGTTGAAATGATTCCAACGAAAATTCCAACGGAGTTATTCTGTTGGAATGAGTTTTCCATTGGAATTTAGATGGAATTTGATTATTCCAATGGTTTTTTAACTTAGGAATTTTCGTAGTATTATACAATTTCCGTTGGAATTTTTATTTCCACCCATATTTCAACAATTGAAAAATGTACTGTTGGAATCGTCAAAATCTAACGGAAAACTCATTCCAACAGAATATTTTTGTTGGACTTTCCATTGGAATTCATTGAGAAATTACAACGGAAATAATAACATTGAAATATCCACTGGAATTACCGTTGGAATTCCATTGAAATATATTTCTGTTGGATTTTCCATTGAATTTGATCATTGAATTTCATCATATTCTTATAGCGTACACGTAATAAATCTAAACAAATATATACGCAATATCAAATTTTGGATTTAAAGTCTACGGTCAATCCTTGACCGATGATATTTAATTGAAACTCTTGTCGAGTGAGTTCCCAAGATAAAAGCTATCTAAGCATTAGCTTTGATAGTTTGATGTTGATGCCCTAACAATAGTTTGGCTTCATTAAGTTGGAACCTATCCATGTTAGGACCGGTGCTTTTAATAATGGACACATTGACTAATGAAACCGCACGTTACTTGGTACCATCTTAATTAAATTAAAACAACTTTATAATTGCCAAAGTTTTTTATTCATCGCGTGACAAGTTTTTCCTAACATGTGGTTCGCAACACACAAGAAAATCGATATTTTTCATCACCAGAAATTAATTAATTGTACGCAACTTTTTTATTTATTTTATTTTTTTTTGCAAAATGTCGCTTAGGGCAACAATTCCCAAATGATGTTAATTTGTTCAAAAGACGAGGTTTTACCTAGGTTAAAAGGCATATAATCGCCACATGATAAAATTATGGCTTAATTGCAAATAAAACCATGACCTTTTCGAAATTTGTAATTTAATGCACCACCTTTAAAATTGGCAAATTTATACACCACTTTCACAATTTTTTGCAATTGTATGCATCGGGCCAAAATCGGGCTTTCCTTGCTGACATGGGCTGGTGACGTGGCGATTTTGCTGACATGGCTGGTGACGTGGCTGACATGTCAATATTTTGCTGACGTGGCGGCAAAAATTATAAACAGAGGCAAGGTTCGAACATGTGACCTTTAAGTTGCATTGTGGCAATGAAACCACCACACCATTCCAAGTTATGAATTGAATTCAATAGCAATTAATATATATGGACACTAAGTACTAATAAACACAATTAAAATTTTAAAGATAATGTATCTTATATTAATAAGATATAAACTTATAATAATTTAAATATAATAAAATAAATTATATAATATTAAATGAAAAATAAATTATAATAAAGTAAGATAGATTATTATAGTACAGTGCATTTAAATTAAATTAAATTAAAATAAATTATTATATTTATTATTTATTAAAATAAAATTAATTATATAAATTTGGAAATAAAAATAATATATTATTTATTATATTATCATATATTTTATTATATAAGATAATATAAGATAATATAATATAATATAATATATTTTTTATAAAATAATATAAAATAAGATAATATATTATTTATTACATTATATTATTTTATAAAAAAATAATAATGATAAAATTAAATTAAAAAATAAAAAAGATTAAAGTACACAAGTTAAAATTAAGTAAAAATAATAAAATATAAGATAATAAATTATAAAACATGGAAAAATAAAATAAATATAAGATAATAAAATATTTATTTTATTATCATTTTATTTAATATAAGATTATAAAATATTTACTTAATTTTATTTTACTATTTTATATTATATTATCTTATAAGATAATAAATATACGATAATGATTATTTATTATACTATAATAATAATATTATAATGTATTATAATATATTATATTATTTTTATAATATAATAAATATAAGATAATATAATGTAATAAATAATATATTATCTTATTTTATATTATTTTATAAAAAATATATTATATTATATTATATTATCTTATATTATCTTATATAATAAAATATATGATAATATAATAAATAATATATTATTTTTATTTCCAAATTTATATAATTAATTTTATTTTAATAAATAATAAATATAATAATTTATTTTAATTTAATTTAATTTAAATGCACTATACTATAATAATCTATCTTACTTTATTATAATTTATTTTTCATTTAATATTATATAATTTATTTTATTATATTTAAATTATTATAAGTTTATACCTTATTAATATAAGATACATTATCTTTAAAATTTTAATTGTGTTTATTAGTACTTAATGTCCATATATATTAATTGCTATTGAATCCAACACATAACTTGGAATAGTGTGGTGGTTTCATTGCCACAATGTAACCTAAAGGTCACAGGTTTGAACCTTGCTTCTGTTTATAATTTTTGCCGCCACGTCAGCCGCTATGTCAGCAAAATATTGACATGTCAGCCACGTCACCAGCCATGTCAGCAAAATCGCCACGTCACCAACCCATGTCAGCAAGGGAATCCCGATTTTTTGCCCGATGCATACAATTGCAAAAAATTGTAAAAGTGGTGTATAAATTTGCCAATTTTAAAGGTGGTGCATTAAATTGCAAATTTCGAAAAGGTCATGGTTTTATTTGCAATTAAGCCTAAAATTATTAGACTGATTAGTGGTAGCTTTGTTTGTTTTCTTTGATGATCGATCTCAGTAGCTAAGTAAGTAATAAGGGGGTGATTGGATATGAATTCAACTAGTAAAAACTAGTTTTTTTTTTTTAATTATAGTTAATTTTGAAAAAAAAGTAGTATGGTTAGTTACTAGTGGATATATTATAATAATATTTAAATTAAAATAATTAAAGTTAATTTGATGTAAAAGTAGGAGAAAATGATTGTAAATGATGGTTAGTTAAAATTATGTGAGTGGGTGAATAGTGAATTAAAGTTGATGTGATATGTAATAATGATTGTTTGATATTCTTTAATTATATTGATAATATTAGAGATAATGGAGTTGAGTTAAATTTGAGTTTTGAGTGAGACTATACAAATTGTATACAATCACGCCAAGTGGTTGATTGGAGCCTATAATTGATCAATATTCTGGTAAATTAAAAGTGTCAAATTGGTGAAACGCACGATTTTAAGTTAAGAACGCAATCCAATGTAGATTTTATTTTCTTTCTTTTTTTTTTTCTTTTTTTTGTGAGAAAGGCGTGGAACACAACATAAAGACATACTTTAAATTCATAAATAATTGAAAAATTAGTTGAATGATTTCCACACTCATAATTCGAGATGTTAAAGTTTAGTTGAGTATGATATAGTGAAAAAATAAAAGTATTTATATATAGGAAAAATTGTATTTTTTGCCTTGTAATTTATGTTGTGTAGCATATATGGACAATTTATTTTTCGTTTGAGAAAACATGATAGTAACTTGTTAAAACTCGAAATTCGCGCACAATTTACCTACAAGTTACTGAATTTCACTACTAGGTGCTGACTCACTCTGGTTTATTCTACGTGGATGCACATGTGTCATGGAAGATTGCCAAATCAACAGAACTACTTTTTTCTTTTGGCAAAAAAAGACTGTAACTTGTTAAAACTAGGGCTGCAAATGAGCCGAGCCGAGTCGAGTATTGGTCTTATCGAGCAAGATTGATTTTTTTTAGCTGCTCGAGCTCGTCAAGCTCAATTTATGAGGCTCGAGCTCGACTCTATAAAAATCTACGATAGCTCGAGCTCGGATCAAAATCAAAATACTCGAGCTCAGCTCGAGTTCGGCTTGAAAATTATTAAGTGGAAATGTAAAATTACAATTAAGTATCTATGCTAATATAT